ACTCTTTCCTGCCTATGCAGGGGGTCGGACTCAATGATCTATTGAGGTCCCTTCCGACCCTAACATCTATGAATCTATTCTGCCCACTGCCAAATGGGGCCCTGCACTGCCTCCCTCAACCCCTTGTCAAAGGATTAGGCTCTGCATTGCCAGATTGGGGCCCTGCACCACCTCCTTGGGCCATGCACTGCCAGATCCCCTGCTGCCAAATTTTCAGACCCCTGGGCCAGATGGCATTTCTCCACAGGTTGAATCTGGCCCTCATGTTGGGGCTTGAGTACCCCTGATATTTATAATTTGGCTATAGCCCCACAGGAAAGTAGGGTTGGAAGGGGCCTCATGAGGTCAATCAAGGAAACAGAGACAGATCTGGCTGGAAACAGAGAGCAGAGCAACCGATTGGGCAAGGAGAAGACAGTAGAGCAACAGATTGGGCAGGGAGCAGAGAGAAAGAGCAACACAGCAACAGGTCAGACAGGGGAAAGGGATTGGAGTTTCACTTGGGGAGGGCATGAGGATTACTTAGCAGCACACCTGACAAAAAGACCCCCACTGACATATGAAATCCACTTGGTTTCCAATACTCATGACTTTATCATCCCATGATCTAGCTGGTAGCTACGACCCCACAAGCACTTGACTTTCTCATACAACTAAACTTTAGAAGATACTCTCTTTGGCCAGATTATATGGGTTTTTTTTAAATCTGAAATCAGATGAAGCGATTCAGAGTCCTATTTCATGAAAACTGGAACAGGTATATTCTACAATTTTTTTAACAGTAATTATTAAACACTATTATTGAGGAATACTAAATATCTGCTAATTCAACTAAGACTACACTATAAATACACAAAGAAAGAATGTATTCAGTTTAAAAAGATTATTCTCATAAAGGAGTAGAGTGAAACTCCCATTGACCTCAACGATGTAAGATGAAGCACAATAAAGAACTGGATAAGCAGAATACACTCAAGACAGATCTTTGAGAACAATATGCTAATAATACTATGTTAAAGATTAATTTAGATATGAAAACACTGACCTAGGACAATCAGTGAACATCTATCCCATGAATATAGGTGTAGGGTTAAGCTTTATAGTATGCAAACTATAATTCAGACCTGTAATACCAGAGGATAGTCAAATCTCAAGCTAGTGTAAGTGTTAGCTTCCACTGGCACTTACCATTCATTATCTTTTATGTGTTTAAGTCGAATTTGATAAATGTTGCATTTTTTCAGCTGGTATTTCCCGTCATCACTTTCTTCCAATGGTAAAAATGTCACAGTTCCATTTAAAACATCTGAAAAGATTGGTAAATGGTAAAATGTTATTTAAGATGTAGAGACAGGATCTCATACCAAACTTCTACCCTTGTTATGTAAAGCTACTGAAGTGGTACACAATTTGCAGTATCTAGCATGCTGCTAGAAGATGTTTTACACAATTTCTAACCCCAATCCTACAAATTCTTAGGCATGTGATTAACCTGGCTGATGACAGCATCCTGAGGGATAGCCAGCACAGGTTTGTTGCAGATAGGTCTTGCTTGACCAATCTTATTTCCTTTTACAACCAGGTGACCTATCACCTGGACAAGGGAGAAGAGATTGAGGTCATATATCTTGACTTTAAAAAAGCCTTCGATCCGGTATCCCATGATCACCTCTTAGCAAAACTGGCCAACTGCAGCCTCGGCTTCACCACGATCCACTGGCTGAGGAATTGGCACCTTGGTCGGACCCAGAGGGTGGTGGTCAATGGAAGTCAATCGTCATGGTGCACTGTGACCAGTGAGGTCCCTCAAGGCTCTGTCCTTGGGCCAACACTATTCAACATCTTCATTAATGATGTGGGCATTGGTATCAGAAGTGGACTGACCAAGTTCACCGATGACACCAAACTTTGGGGTAAAGCGTCCTCACCTGAGGACAGGAGGGTGATCCAGGCTGACCCTGACAGGCACAGGAAATGGGCGGACGAGAACCTGATGGTGTTTAACACTGAAAAATGCAAGGTTCTCCACCTTGGGAAGAAAAACCCACAGCATGCTTATTGGCTTGGCAGTGCTACGCTGGCTAGCACTACAGACGAAAAGTACTTGGGGGTCATGACTGACCACAAGATGAACATGAGCCTTCAATGTGATGCTGCTGCTAGTAAAGCGAGCAAAACGCTGGCTTGCATCCATAGATGCTTCTCAAGCAAATCCCAGGACATCATTCTCCTGTTGTACTCTGTAGCTGGAGTACTGCATCCAGTTTTGGGCTCCACAATTCAAATAGGATGTGAAAAAGGTTGAGAGAGTCCAGAGAAGAGCCACGTGCATGATCAGAGGTCAGGAAAACAGACCTTATGATGAAAGGCTGAGAGCTATGGGACTCTTCAGCCTAGAAAAGTGCAGGCTCAATGTGATCTGGTGGCCGCCTATAAGTTTATCAGGGGTGCTCACCAGGATCTGGGGGAACGTCTGTTCACCAGAGCGCCCCAAGGGATGACAAGGTCAAATGGTCACAAACTCCTCCATGACCGTTTCAGGCTGGACATAAGAAAGAACTTCTTTACTGTCCAAGCCCCCAAGGTTTGGAATAGACTGCCGCCGGAGGTGGTTCAAGCACCTACTTTGAACATCTTCAAGAAACATTTGGATGTTTATCTTGCTGGGATCCTATGACCCCTTCCAATTTCCTGTCCCTGGGGTAGGAGGCTGGACTCGATGATCTTCCGAGGTCCCTTCCAGCCCTAATGTCTGAAATCTATGAAAAAAACCCTTAACACATGATTACTCCCATTGAAGTCAATCCTTCATAATAGGGGTGCACCAATAAATAAATCTTATCCGATACTGATAGCCAATGATTAACTAACAGTATCGGCTGATGCTGGTCCAATAACCTATATTTAGTAATGGTGCAAGGCATTTTAAACTACTGGCATAAATAAATCTTTTTTTGTTTTGCATTTAACCACACACATACACACACGCCTCCTGCCTGCTTTGGCCCTCGATGAGGAAGGTGGTGACTGCCTTATTCCTACACAAGTCACCCCTTCGCCCACAGCTCCTATCCACAACCCTGTTCCTGCACCCTCTGTGCTGCGTAAATTGAGGTAAAGAAGGAACAGGCCTGTGCTGAACACCACTGCACAATCCAAGACACCTTCCAAGTCCACAAAACATCTGGTTCAGTCCAGTTGCAAAAGTTTCAGTGAAACAAAGACATTTAAAAAAAACTAACAGGAGATCACTTATTAGAATATTAGAAGCAGCCATTTATAAAATTGGGTAAAGGCTGGAGGAAAATAAGGAGAACTCAGCAAATTCAAGAAGACTTGCTGCTAATCTACATGCTATCCTCCCCCCACCTCTTGACTCTCCCCAGTGGGTATAGGTGAGAATCCATATTGTGCTGTGATGGGTGAAAATAATGGGTGAAATAGGCAGATTTTCTTTTTACAGTTTCACTTCTACAGTAGTACTAAGTGCAATGAGTAATACTAAATGAGCAGGGGCCCAAGGGGTGACTAAATGAGCAGTACTGTACTGACTGCATTGACTTCTTTTGTTCAGGAGGATCCATCCTCAACATACAGGATTCTGACTATCCATCTTCAACACCATCAACACTGTCTACAATTACAAAGTTATCTGCTAATGATACCCATGTTTCAGTAAAATGCATGTCACATAGTATATCACCTGTAGCAAAAAAACCCAAAATCTCCATCATCCAGAAACAACCACAGATATGTTTGTAATAAGAATCAGCAGATTAAGCAAGAGGTAACTGATGAAAAAATTGCTTGGTTTGTTTATGCAACAAACACTCCTTTCCATATGGCTGAGACCACACATTTCATTGACATGGTTCAGTCACTTGAACCAGGATACGGTCCAGCCAACAGAGCAGATATAGAAGCAGATAATTGCTGGATAAAGTGTATGAGAAAGAAATTGAACAGCGTGCAAAGAGTCTAGAGGGGAAAACTGTTAACCCGAGTCTTGATGGGTGGAGCAATATCCACAATGATCCAGCAATATGTGCTTTTGACAACAGAAGAAGGGACTGTCTCTCTTACAGAAACAACTGATACATCAGAACATGCACACAGCAGAATACTTGCAAGTAGCAGCAGTAAATGTATAACAAACTGTGAAAACAAATCAAATGTCTAGTACACAGCTGTCAGAGAGAATGCTGCAAATGTATCAAAAAATTATAAGAAATCTAGAAGAAAATGAAGAAAGCCCCAAACTAATGGCAGCGCTCATTTGATGCACCTCTTAGCCAAAGACTTCAGTGCTTCAGAAATAAAGGCTACTGTTGTTGAAATTGCAAAATACACCCAGAACAATTACTTTGCAGCAGCTGCTCTGAAGAAAGCAGGAGGAACCAACCTAACTCCCCAACAAGACATGTGATGGAACTCAGTAGTGGACTGTTTTGAGCAACTTATTGAGAACGGGCCTAATCTGATCGCAATTTGTGAACAGAGTCATGACAAAACTGACCTGTCATAGCCAAAGTTCTCAAAGTTGAGCTAAAGAGAAACGTAGAATGTATGCTGACTATCCTGACGGCTATTTCCGTAGCCTTATACAAAGTGCAGGGAAATCATTGTTTTATTGCTGATGCTGTTGAAATTTGGAAGACCGTGAAAAAAAAAAATGCAGTGACAGAGTTAAATTACAAGCATTAAAAAAAATGAATGTATCAAGCACTATCTCTAGCTCCTTTTCTTGCCAATATTCTCAATACTTGGTACCAGGTTAATCTTTAACTGCTGAAGAAGAGGAGTTGGCTATAAAATGGGCATCATTCCTCCAAAATACCAACTATAATAAATTACAGGGCTAAAGCTGAACCATTCAAGAAATATATGTTTGCTGATGAGGTTTTAAAGAAAGTCACCCCAGTGAACTGGCAGAAGTCTCTTAAGCACCTGGATCTATCAGAGACTACTGAAGTGACAATCCAGCTTTTAACAGCACTATCTTCTTCTGCAGGTGTAGAAAGAATATTATCTTCCTTTGGACTAATTTATTCTAAATTGAGAAACCGCTTGGGAACTGATAAAGCAGGAAAGCTCCTCTTCCTGTTTATTCATAGACTGGAAAAGAAAGCTGAAGACCGAATGTGCTGCATAAACCAGTATTTTAAGTCTCTCATGTTGACCTGGCTGAAATAATCTATTTAACTTTTTTTTTAAAAAACACATTTCACATTTATAACTAAAATAGTTAACAATTCAAAAATGCATATATTTGCTTTGTTAAAATAATTATACGCTTGTTGTTGAAGAAAAATATCCAAAATACGTAAGCTTGTTGTTTTAGTTAAATAAAACAATTTAAGCATCTCTTGTTTTTTGGTGATCGTTAATGTTGTCCTTCTCTTACTACAGCATGGCAAAAATATTCCCCAAATATCCGAGATTAATCTAGTGAAGTGGAGATAGTTCACCTCCCAATGACTTCACAAGTACCAGTTTCATTTAGCTTTGGTAAATAAAATAACCAAATGATGATTCATTACATAATTAATGAATTTATTAATGAATAGTTAATTCCTACATAACTTAAAAGTGTTCTACCTTCAAATTTCCTGTCAATGAAAAAAACAAAAAAACAAAAGGGAAAAAAACATAACCTGCATCATACAAGATAATTCTCACATGCTACTGATCTTACAAATCCTAATATATTCCATAAGCCTTTTAATGTCACCTATAAAATGCTTAGTGAGTACCATATGTTATTGCTATAAACCAATTATTACTGATGCTCCTGAGGTACACAGGCTTGTTAGTTGGTAAATAAGAATAACTAGTCTAGTGGTGCTCAACTGCTCACTTGCAGACCAGATCCAGCTCACACAGTTGTATCATGTGGTCCGTGGGGCTCCCTATGGGTCCAGGAATTTTGCAGTGAAGCAGCAGGAGCAGCATTAATTCCTCCCACACTCTCAGCAATAAGGGTGCACCGAAAGAGATTTTTTGGGTTGATACCGATGGCTGATTTTTAACAAGCCATATCGGCCAATACTGATCCGATTGCCAATATGTGGCCTGGCACCTTGGAGAGCAGTGTCCAGTTGGTAAATCTGTTCTGGGGGAAGGGATGAGGGGGAAGGAAAAGGGTGTAGGGGGGCAGATGGAGGCTGCTGTGGTGAGGGAGGGAGTGAGTGAGGCCAGAGCAGGAGTAGGTGCAGAGGCAGGTGCTACCCAGCCAGGGCAGGATGGGGCTCAGGGAGAGGGGGAGCTCCTGCAGCTGCATGCACCC